TGTGGTGCAAGAAGAAGATTCACTAACATGGCATGTTTCATTTTCAGGTTCTGGAGACGTAGAAGTCGTGTAATACCAGCTAAAGGGTAAAAAAATGTCAAATAAGGGAATTGCATTTTATTCTAATTGTGAACAAAAGTATTTTTTGGACCTTACTGGTATTTAGTCCATCTACATCATTTATTTTATCAATAAAGTTTCTTATTACTCAGCCGACAAACTCAACAGAATTTGAAGAAGAGATCAGTTGGAAAAGTTAATTTCTGTGTAATAATTTTTCTGATGAGCACTTTTCTGCATGAACTTTGTCACAAATAGGTCATCTTTTCAGCCACAGACAGAAAAAACCCAACTCATATGGACGGACAGCACTCTGGAAAATATTAGCATCTCATAATGGATTTTGTGAGCGCTGATCTTCAAGCTGCTAATTCTCCAGTTTGAGCAGAATATCATGATGTGACTCAATGTGAGAAAAAGGGGTGAAAGACAAAAGATCGTCAGCCCTCCTGAGGAGCTTGTGCATCAAGGCCCCAAAAAAGAAAGTCTCCTCAGAAACAATATCGTCCCACTTTTCTCAAGCTGCTCAGATTCAAAGCAAGTTGTTGCTTTTTTTCCTCCGATTAGCATCACAAAGATGCAGGTTTGGCCCCTTTTCCACATCCATCGTTAGTATTCCCAGCAGGAATGAAAGAAGGCGGCCCGATCTCCAAACAAAGTTCTCGCTCTGTTTAGCTGCTCAGAAATGTTCACCCAAACAGCAGACGGAAGGAAGTCACTTTAATGCAAATAGTCCTTCAAGTCGATGTTATTTTGCATCAGAGCCGTGTTCAGGACTTTTAAAATGGGGTGGCCCATGTGGGGCACTTGTTTATGCATGGGTGGCACCAATGGTTATGCTTATTTATTTATTTACACAAATCGTTTGTTTATTTATTTATTTATTTACTTTCTAGTGAATTTTGGAGTTTCACATTGCACAATCACCATTTTTTTCTATTCATCTTCTAGTTTTGTGGTGGTTAGCAAGTCACTTCTTGTTGCATTACTGCCACCAACTGGAGTTGAGTGGGACTCTAAATATTATTTATGTGAATATGAAAAAATAATAAATAATAATACAGAAATGTTCTGTAGGCCTGGGCTAGAAGACAGTGTTAAAGGTGCGTGCTACCACACACTATTTTTGGAGTTTACAACCCAAGCATTTTGTCGACAACGTAAAGTCAATTTAAACTGGAACTTTAGTAGGGTGGCACCTGGGGTGGCCAATCAGATTCTAAGGGTGGCATGTGCTACCTCAGGCCACTCCCTGGACACGCCCCTGTTTTGCAGGTTTCTATCTTCATGGTGTGTTAGTTGGAATTCTGGGTCAAAACTGTTATTGCAGCTGGGAATTTTTAAATGATTAACCCATGAAATAGTTAAATATCATATTAAAAATTGCTTTTCTGTGCGTTTTATAATCAAGAAGCACTAGTCTCAGATTCCTACAGTAGATTCTACAGAATTATGGCTCTACACTACACACATATTGGTTCATAGTGACACATTGATTTATAACTGAAGTTTTTTAGTTTCCAAAAACAACCCGTTTGAGCTGAAACATCATGACTAGTTCATTATTAGGAATTTACTCTAGTCTGTTTTGTTTTTCTGCACATCTGATGCCATATCAGTCCCACATTTCCACTTGTTTAGATCTGAATGGAATGCTGTTTATCAGTAACCACGTAACTTAGCAAACATTTCTGTCATCTGCTGCCAGTGGAATTACGAAGCGAATTCCCGGTGAAGTTACTGTCAGCCGCAGGTGTAACTTCAGCAGGAAAGAATATAGCAATACAAATGTTATCTTCCTTTTAAAGGAAAGCAAAGGCTGAAAATGAACGTGTCATACCTGTTTGTTAAAATGTAATTTCTGTGTAAAATCACCTTTTAGTATGCTGTGGCCCCCAGACTCTGCAACCCTCTCCCCTGATTGGTCTCCTTCAAAAAGAAGCTGAAAACTCACCTGCTCAAGCTGGCTTTGGCGTGACCTGTCGCCACCCTCTCCTTATTCTGCTATATAAACCCAAAAGTTCAAAATAATGAAATATATTGAGTAGATTAAACTCATAATTAAAAAATGTTTTTAGAACTCAAATGTGTTGAGCTTGTTCAACCTTTTCCTTGTTTTAAGTACAAATGTTTTAATTAATCCAAACTATTTCCTTTTTAAGTAAACATAACTTAAATTAATCAGCTGAACTTTAATGAGTAATGTTAACTGAAAAATGATTGATTTATTATTTTTATGTTTCTATATTATTCCATTCATCTTTACGTCAACCCTAAAGTGTGTCTGATAAACAGATTTGTATATTATTTTAAATATTTGTGGATTTACAAGAAAAACAACCACAAACTTGCAATTTTGTTGGATTTCAGGAACAATAAACAACTGGTGGGGGAGGTGCATTGTGGGTAGTCATGTTTTCAGTTATTTAGCTCTAATCTGGGGTGTTTATGCATGTTTATTGTGGAGTATTGTTGTTCTCAGTTATTATTTCATTCAGTGTTGCAGATGTGGTGTTACTTTTTGTATCATGTTGGCACCATAAGTGAGGAGGTTGGTCAAAGTAATGCTGTACGGCTGTGCTGTCCCATTGTTAATAATACTGTGGTTGTTCACACCAGATGCTCTTGACTTGACTTTGAGTGTTCCACTTTCATTGGCTGTTAGCATCTAGGGGTGTGTGAGTCATGATCTGGTGCTAGTTACTGCCTTCACCAGCCTGCCACATTGTCATTTCTAAGTAAATTCAACTTATTTGGGTTAGGGGGATATTAGGTCCATTTAGAGTTCATATAAGTTATAATATTTAAATTAGTAAAAACATGTTATGAAGTTCAAATAAAATAAGATATGCAAGTTTAGTTAAATTAAACTTTGTAAGTTGCTTAAGTACCAAGTTATAGGTTGGAGGTAGTTAAATGCTTTGATTTTATTTAGGTCATGTTTTTTAAGTTATGGTAAACTTATAGTTTTTAGATAAGTTAACTTAAACATTATTAGGTAATCAGTTTCCTCATAAATTTTGAGTTCAATGAACTTTTTCGGGGTTACAGTCTTTCCCGGGATCCACTGATTTCTCTCTTTCCTATTCATTTTCTCTCTCCATTCCTTACATTTTTGAATCACATTATTTTTCTCATTTTAAACATATTTTAAAACATTTAAAAAAGAATACCTTTTATATTTTAAATTTTTTGTTTTTGCAAAGCGCCTCGTGATTTTTATTTTGAGCAGTGCTAAATAAAAGATTACTTCCTTTCTTTCTTTCTTTCTTTCTTTTTTCTATTGTTTAAACAAAATAAGAATCCACACACTTCATTCTGCGATGTAGGAGTTTATCGGTCAAGCTTTCGGTCAGAGACCATCAGGAATTGTGGGTTAGGGTTAGCCACAATTCCTGATGAAGGTCTCTGACCGAAAGCTTGACCGATAAACTCCTAAATCGCAGATCGAAGTGTGCGGATTCTTCCTTTGTTTTTTCCACTTTTTGATCCAGCACCTTTCTTAGACGAGCGGTGACTCCTTCTACTCTATTCTTTCTATTGTTTAAAATGTGATTTTTGTGGCTATTTTTAATTGTTTTGTTTAACTAGTAAATTATAGTGAAAACAAGCTCAATAGTTTTGATGTAAATGCCCTTTATGTCATGATCATGCTACAGCTCTCATTAGTTGGGCTCATGCTGCTCACCTGTTTCACCAGCTAGTCAAACTCTCTGCCTGATTAAAGCCTTTAGAGACGGTGTCCACAATTCTTTTCCATGACTGATTTCTTGTTCCTGACAGCGTTTCTACCGCCTGGATTCTGCCCTCGTGCCTCGCCCCACCTGCATACCTCGGCCTCTTTTTGTGAAAACCCTGTATCTTTTTCCTGACTCCTGTCTTCAGCCTGTGCCCTATTGGAAGATTCTGCTTGTTGTCTCCCTGGTTCTGACCCGAACCCGTCCTTTCACCACTCTTCTGCATTACGACTTGAATCACCGACTAGTCGACAAGGTCCTTACCTCAGCTTCAGGAATTAACTTTTAAATGTCATTCTGGGTGCGGTTGCCTGTTTGAGTCCTCACAGACCATCATTACACTTTAGGCATTATTGTTAAAAAAAAGTATAATGTATCAAATACCTAAAAAAAATCCAGAAAATTAAATTTTTTCTACCAGGTGTTTTTGAAAGAAAAGAAAGTTAGTTATGGTGTTAATGTGTTATTAATTTTGTGTAAACAATTTATACATAAATGTCGATTTTTTAAGACCAAACCAACACTAGCCTATTGGAAAAACGACTTAAAATTATTAGTTAAATCTTTGAATTTAGTTAAAAAGAAAAAGGCTGGTTTGTTTATTTCCTTTGTAGAAGATTTTGAGTTAGTAAGTTAATAATCTGTTAATTATGTGACCCCATCTTTAGATTTTCTTTTTTCATTTTTATTTTTTCATATACGTGAAAATGTTTAATATGCATGTAATGATTATCTTTTGAATATATAATGTAAGGTGCATTTTGTTTGTATGTTATCTTCTCTAATTTAAAAAAAAACAAATTCTACCATTTTTTTGTTGTGCATTTTAGAAGAAAATTAGGTAACGCTTTACATTATGAATCCCTTTAATAATACTTGTACATTGTTAAGCATTAATAAACTAACCATTAACTTACTTCACAATATTAAGTAATGCATTATTAATCAGACCCCCCCCCCCCCCCCCCCCCCCGGCTCTTCGTCGTAACCTGGACATTTAATAGTTGCCAATAGCGGTAACGTTAATAAAGGGAGCCTTTGTTCATTAATGCTTAATAATGCACCAAATAACGCTAGTAAAGAGACTCTTATTGTGAAGTGTTACCAAAATTAATTTTGATGTGAAATAAAAAGAGAGTTTTAAACATCAGCCAGGTTTCTGACATGATTAAGAACTCGTGTTGGAGCCCGAGGCCTTCTTACCTGTGACTCGATGTCTCGTCAAACATCCTCTCTTTTCCATCTTTAAAGAGCAGCACGGCCCGGTCCGTCTTATCCAGCAGGTTTTTGATGTGGACTCTCAGATACTTGGCCTCATCTCCCCGTGGCAGCAGGCCTGCTGACGGTCCCAGGCCCTTGTAAGGCTCCCAGACCTGTGAGAGGAGCGTGGCAGTCTCTCGAACCAGCTCAGGCAGGTACGGAGGGCTGTTCTTCAGGCCCAGACGGGCATTTGTGCACAGTTCCTTTAGCTTTTGCAGTCTTTTACTGGCCTTCTCCTGCAGCCGCAGGTCTTCCCTGGTAGGAAACTGGGAGCTCAGCTTGGGGCTCTTAGAGGCTCCTGACATTATGTCACTTGTGTGTGTTTGAAAGCAACGTGAAGTCAAAGTGTCTCAAAAGTTTGTGTCTCTGTGTGTTGGGGTGTGATGATCAGTGGAGTGCCACGAGGTGTGGAAGTCTCTAAGCAGAAGATGGGTGGAGTTTTTCAGGTTTTAGGGCGTTCGCTCTGACATTTGTCGTCTATACGATGATCTTTGCGAGTCCTCGGCTTGATCTGAAAAGTGTGCATCCTATCTTATTTAACTATTGTCTGAAGGAGAGAGTCAAACAGAATCACATCATCCTGTAATCAGCATGTGAAGCGCATAAGACGTATAACCACAACAGTCCTCTTGAAGCTCATGATCCTACAGTCATGCTAAAATCAGGTTCTGACACAGTTTTAGTTTAAAAACCAACATTTAGCTCAAAGTTTAAAAATGTATGTATATAAATTAAAATTAGCGTTTAAGACAAGCATCCAGAATTTTACCATCTGAACCCTTTTATTTCTGTTGTCCGTCTCCAAAAAGACCAACAAATCTTTTTTTCCCACCACTGTTAAGAAATAAAATTTGCTCACCAGCATTTATCTGAGCAGCAAACCAGTCCTACGTTCTCAAGGTCAACAGAGCAAGAAGATCTACTTGCAGCACAGCAGAAACATGTTTTGTGTCATGCCCTGAAAGGGAGCAGTGTCCTCTTCTTCATGTCTCTTCATGTCACCCTGCTGCTCTCACACGTCTTGGCTCAGCCTTTGATTAATTTCCTGGTTGCAGCGAGACCAAAAAGGTTTGTGTTTGCTGCTTTGTTCAGGCAGACAAGTAAAACCAGAGAGAGAGAGAGAGAGAGAGAGAGAGAGAGAGACAGAGAGAGAGGGGGGGGGGGAAGGATCAGAGGTGTAGACTCAAAACAGAAAACTTTTGCTAGAATGAAAACAGGTGCAGAACTCAGTCAGCACTAGAACTTTATTTGCTGATACGTAGAAGCTTTACCGTTGGATGGGATTCCTGTAAAAGTCAAGTTGCATCAGTTTTACACGCTTGTCAGCAAGAAAAACCGTTTATTGTGTAAATAACTAACTTCAATAACTATTTTTTCACAAGAGTTTTCCATAAACTGTTTCAGTATATTTGTATATTGTCAGGAGTTTTAGCCAAAACAAGAATTTGTGTGAGATATTTCTGGTACAGTCTCCGGTGTTACTCTGATTACTTTGGTCAGGTGCTCACTTTTCCCTCTAGCACCATCACGAGGTCGGTTATTCAAATAAACACTGTTTGCATGCGGTGCAGCTCTGAGTCATTCCTAATAACTTTGTTTTATTTTGAAGGAGCCAGATCTTCTTTGAAAATGCAGATTATTTGGAATAGTTAAAACTTTTACACAGGCTGAGTTGCGATGATTTGGCTGATTCTTTGACTCTGTTCATTTATAATACCTTCATATTTTTGAGACTTAATAAACACAATAAGATAAACTAAAGATCTACTCAGACTGTATAAACAAGTATTTTACATTCAAATCAGATGATTGATTCATAATCTGCCTTTCTGGGAATAAAGAGAGTACTTTCCTGGGTGCATGTTTGCTCCAGACCCTAAAAATAGCACCAGTCAACACATCCCAGTTCTCTCTGATTTGACAAAATAAACCTGACTAAAAAGCTGAATAAAATAGACTTCAGAGCATAAAAAAATTGCTTCAGCTCGTGCTCACTTTTCTCTATCTACAATACTTTGGTTCGATTTTTGTAACGATTATGCTAGAAATACGCCTTCAGCTATTGTTTATCAGCGTATCTACCTTGGGGGGTCCCGCAGGGTTTGATATTGGGACCCCTGTTGTTTTCTATTTATACTCGGCCACTGGGTGACATCCTGCAGAAGTATAGAATTGGGTTCCATCTTTACGCTGACAAGTGACAACTACACTTACCTTTGGATGACACTGAAGACCGCCCGATTAGAAATCTCAGGGATTGTTTGGCTGAGGTCAGGGTATGGATGACAAACAACTTCCTGTGGCTTAATGAAAATAAAACAGAGGCAGCGTTGTTTGGGCCGAATGGTCACTTTCCTTCCAAGGTGGACTGTGATGAAATAAATCCCTTCCTGAGTGTTTCTGCAGTAAATCTTGGCGTGAAGATTGACAGTGCCTCTTGCTTTGATGCTCACGTTAGTGCTGTGCTATCTTCTGTCTTTCATCCTGTGAGATGTTTGGCTACGTTAAAGCCATTCTTGACTAGATGGTTTCTTGAGACTTTTGTTCATGTGTTCATTACCTCGTGCCCAGACTACAGAAACTCTGTAAATACTGCAGCTTGTTCAGAAAGCTTCAGTGAGAGTTGGGGGGTGCTCTGGCCCATTTGACTGTGATGTTTCGCTAACGCTTCGCTGCAAGAACCAGCTGCTGCTTTTAGCTCCCAGAACTCGGGGATCGGAACTTCTGGGTCCAAAACTGTGGAACGCCCTTTCCTTATCTGTTAGGCTCTCTTCATCAACAGAGTTTTTAAAATGAGCCTGAAGACTAACTTTAATGATGTGATTTTAAACTCTGTGAGTTAGCTGTTGCTATTATTTTATATGATTTGACCTTGTAATTGTTACTTTGTTGGTTTTAATTTTCTCTGTTGGTTTTATCTGTTTTATTCCATTCTTGTACAGCACGTTGATGACATGACTCGTGTCTGTAAGGTGCCCTGTAAGAAAGGCTGAGATGGGTTGAGCTATTTGAATTTGTGAAAATCATCTGGAAACCCAACCCCCCACCTCCCCGTGTAAATAAATGTTGGTGAACCACAGTGGGGTCCTGACCCCAGCTTTGGGAACCACTGCGACCATCGTGCACACACACTGATATTACAATCATTTTGTTGAATTTTGTCTTGTGCAGTTTGAGTTTTAATCTTTTTTTACCATTCAAGGCTTGCAGGTCCCTGAGTCTACAGGAATCTGGTCAAAAATGATGGTAATACAGATGTAATACTAACATTTTCTTACTAAAATCCATTTCTGATATACAGATCTAATTTAATCCATGAAACCTGAAGTTTACTAAACTTTGTACCACTTGTACATACATGGTCAAAATAAAATGAATGACAATCATGGTACTTTTAATGTCTCTCAAATGTCAAATTTAACTCCAAGCATGCTGCATCGCCAGATAATTGACCATGTTGGTTGGTCTTAAACTATTTATTCATCAAACATCTGCAACTTTACAGATTTGCAAACAAACATTACTTAATTTTTAAGCAGGGAAGCAAGAAAATATTTTAGTGATAAATAATGCTAAATAAAAAGACAATTACATGAAGGAAAATGTGTTTTATAAAACATTTTATTAGATTTTTGTTTCAAATGAGGATTTAATAAAATTAAGACAAAAGGTTTAACATTCCTAACAATGTACGCGTTTTATCTACAACATGAATAAATGATAAAGCAAATTTTATGTAACAATTAGATCAACAAACTTGTTTTGATGCATCCACAAGAGGGCAACACAAGCTCACACAAAACATCTGTTCTCATCGTGTCATTGATCTTTATATGAACTGTCTTCTGCAGATGACTTCAGGCTTGCACCTCCACTTGAAACTTATTTTCTTCTATTGAACAAAGAGTCCCGCATGCAGGGAAGACACCAACTGTTGAACGTAATCCTCTCAGAGCTGCACGGCGGGATTATTAATGTAAAGTACATTTTAAAACTCATATTTAATCAAACTTCTATTTGACAGTTGCGCTGAACTCAGCTGTTCCTGCACAAGAGAGGCGAATTTTATTTAATTTCACATTATTTCACATATTGGTATCTTATAATGCTGACCCCCAAGATCGTAAAAAGGTGTAAAGTTTTCCGTTGACACAGTGTGTGTGTGTGTGTGTGTGTGTGTGTGTGTGTGTGTGTGTGTGTGTGTGTGTGTGTGTGTGTGTGCGTGCGTGTGTGTGTATAAAGGTCACTGACTCATTGCCAATATACAAAAATGGTGCTAAACTATAACAAACATTATAGTGAATGTGTAATTTTGATCATTATTTTCCCGACAGGACCATGATGGTTGAGTGCCTTGACAGCTGCAGGGCTTGTTTGTGCAGCGCCAGGGTGTTTTAGGGACTTTAAACACCAAGCTTGAGTTTCCGTTGCCCATTCCACACTTCAGTGCAAAGAGGAAAGTCCCAAATTGACCCAGGTAATCAGAACCTTGATGAGGGTGGAGCGAGATAAGATTATAGATGAGGGGGAAGTGCATTTGCAGGACTGTGGCCTCGCCATCATGTAGAAACACTGGCAGGCACAGTCACAAGAAGGGCATCAAAAGTACAGACTGATGAGTCATAGGGGCTGTTATTCTCTCTCAGCTGAGTTTGATACCGCAAAACCCTGCACTGTGAATATGGAAGTCCAATGTTAACAAAAACAGTCCATGTTGTTTGCAGATGAATAAACAAAGATAGGAAATGGTTGTCTTCACAAAAGAGAGTTCTCTTTAGATTAGAAGTGGAAGTAGAGGGATCAACATTCCAGATCAGAAACATGATGGAAAACATACAAATTGGCAGATTTCAATAGCAGCGCAAGGATTCATGCAAAATTTCTAAAAGGAAGTTAGTTTTCAGTACCTGAAATGGCAGCTCCAGACTGGTATAAATACAGAATTATACATCCATGGGATTGTTTTGTTTATATGTGTCTGCAGTCTGTTTGAATTTTTTTTACAGCTTTAACTCACTTTCAACTGAGGAAACTACATTTTAGATGTGGAGCTCCAGCTGTTTTCTTGTTTTTCTCACCATTCTGCTCTGAACTGCCGATCTACCTGCCTTGACTTCTTGAGAAATTCAACGTTAGGTGCTTTGAACTTTAATGCAAACAGAGCAGGATCTATCAGAAAAGTCAGAAATGCAAAAAAAAAAAATAATAATAATAATAATAATCCAAATAAAATAAACACGAATTCAGAGCACTCTTGAACTCCTTTCCTGCTTTACTTGGTCTAATTAAACGCTTCGATCAGACTGTTTCGGTTTAAAACGAAAGTAGAGCCGCTGGTGAGGCGTCAAACAGGCGCTCATGATCAGCAGATGAGCACTGGCGCAGCTCCACTGCGCCACGGTCATGTAGGTGCGCAGGGATACGCACAAGTTTTTTTCTGGATAGTTTTTTTATCATTATTATCAGTGTTACAGATTTGCATGAACCTGTTATTTTGATAGCGTATTACCTAAATAACACCAGAGGCACAAACAGAATGGTTTGACTTGACAACACTTTTATTGTATTTTAGGATTTACGCACAATCTGTCCTCTTGGATTAGCCTGATTATTCCATCTGAACGTGGGCTGGTTGTCACCTGAAACGTCTCCAGTTGATGCCGAGGATCAGTACCATGAATGTTGATGACCACCAGTCGGTCGCCACTGCGCCGCTGGATTTGAGCACCACTGCGCGAGGGCGTGGGAGGTCTGGGACTCCGGACAGTAATAACATTTGCTCCCGGGACGCTCCGAGCGGCGGCTCCCCTGCACTTCCAGCGAGCACCGGGACCGACAGCACAGAAACCCGTGCGCCTCGCAAACGGCCAGCGGGCAGCGCGTCTTCCTTAAAGCTTCCCTTCAGGAAACGACCCTTTCCCTTCGAACCTGAGAGCCAGACGCCGTCACCGACTCCAGCAGCGAGCGGAATCCGCTCCTCTCCGGTGGAGGAGCGAGACTTGGGTTCCCTTGTTCGTCTGGGGAGAGCCGGGGGGGATCATGAGCGCAGGGTTGGAGTCGCACCGATGACCATCATCAGGAGGGTGGAGGAGGATGGACAGGGTCCAGATGGATACCCCTACTGCCTTTTCCCTATTTATGATTATGGTAAGAACTTATTTTTGTTCATAATCATGAAAAAAGGTGATTTAGTACAAAATTGCTCTTACTTTAAACATTTTTCGTTACAATTGTATTATTTTAAAGTAAAAGAACTGAGAATATTCCCCCTTAAAAGATCAGATTACACTAAAATCCCTGGAAATGATCTTGGTTATCAGGTTTCTGTTTTCGATCTTCAGCATTATCAGCATCCATCTCTGTGATTTTACTGGCTTGTGGGTCACATCTCATGTGGTTGGAGAATCAGTGGCACCACACAGCAGCTTAAACTCAGAGAACATCCAGTCAGCTTATCTGCAGCCTTTCATGCTCACCCAGTAGCATATTTCTGGGTCAATGTTACACACTGCAGCACTTTGCTTTAAAAGTACTTGTTTACTCTTTTCTCTGCCTCCTGGCTTTCTTATTCTGACTTGTTTTTCCTGCTCAGGTCACTATCCGGTGTACTACATGCCCCACGTGGTCCCAGAGCCACATCATCCACCAGCCCTTCAACCTGAAAACCTGCTGGCTGAGATTTCTCTGGCTACGCATCAGGATGAAGATGGAGACACGTATGTTGATTCATTCAGAAAAGATCTGCTGTCACGTTTACACGAGAGGTGTTACTGCTAATATCCATCCAGATTTAAGTCACTGATGCTTGCAGAAAACTACACAATGCCACGATTCACCTTCATCAGTCAAGAATTTAAGAAACTGAAGAAGGAAACAGATCAGAGCTTTCATCACTTTAATGCACAGTCCTACTATTTCTAGCAGACTGAGAAGAATCGTAGATCTTGGCCAAAAGTCACAAATATGGTTGAGCTCAACACCTGACCCAAATGCAAATACTCATACCCACTGTAGTGGAAACTTCTATTATTACAAAAATGTATTTATAAGTTGTTTAAACTATAATTCATCACAAATATGTGGAAAATCATCTCAATTGACGAAACTGTGTGGAAATCGCACAAAAAATCCTTTAATAAAAATCTGTAACATTTTAGGAACTAAACTGATCCGTTGCTGTAGTATTGAAACCTTGATATTTTCAATTTGAGGTGTTTTTCAGTCCAAGACTTTGTTCCTTTTGTTATTTTTCTCAGGCTTATAGCCAACTTCCTTTATTTAGTACCAGGTCTGGACTGCAGGCAGACCATTTTAGCACATGTAAGCCATGCTGCTCCAGCAAACTGCGGCACAAGTTGCATAAGCAAGAACCCACGCATGGTTTAGCATCTTTTTACCCCTTTGCTGGTCCTGGGCGTAATCATTTTGCTGAAAGTACCCAAATTCTTTAGCAGATTGCTCATCCCATCATAGTTTTCCATGAAAGAGCTTGAGGACAAAAGTCACACCAAACAGCTGCATCATGTCATCCCAAGAAAGAAAATTATGAAAACCAAGTTGTTGTTTGAATGTTTTTATTGATTTGTGGCTATATTTGCCTTAGGTAATATTTTGTCTTAGGTAATATTAATGCACCAATAATACTAATAATATTTATAAAATCATAAAATAATATGGTAGTATTTCACTTTTTATACTTTTTTCCTCGTCCTACTCCGGAGCATCGCTAAAAACACAAAAAAACAAAGATTTACATGTGACAAGTTTAAATAGAGTGCTGTGCTGTTTGAATGTATAAACTGAACGCCAAGAGAAATCACGTCTTTTTCTGTGAATAAAATAAAAATGTCAGGCAGGAGCGTCTCAGGATCTGTCTGAAATCCGTCTCGGTGAGACAGATAATAGCAATCCAAAGTGCTTTTTATGTGTGATCTGACAATTGATCAACCGTTGCTTAAAAATTAAATACAGCTTAGCCGGTTAATTGCTGTGATCATAAAACACGTAAACGGCAGCACGCAGAAATCACGAGGCAACATTTTACGTGATGTTTACTTGCTGCTATGAGTAATAAGACAGAAAAAGCCACGCCAAAATAAGTTTAGGAAGCCCACTAAGAATCGTAATAAAACATTTAAAATAAATACCATACACAGTTGAGGAAACGTTGGTTTAACTACCTGATGTGAAGTGGTCGCTGCTTAAGTGAAAACCTTTACTCTCGGGATCCCACAGCTTCATCTTAGCCTGGAGGCTAGCGCGTTTCGTTGCTATGATCCAACGTTTGCAGCGTTCTGGATCTTGGGGAGTCCTGTAGAAGGCTCTTCCCTTATCTCGTCCGCGTCTGCTCCGGCATCCTGGGGCACAACAGGAATCTACCATATTTCCCGTTTGATTGAGTTTTCTGACAATAACAAATAGCCCAGCTGCGGGCTTCTGCCTGCCAAGATGGCGCTGTTTCGATTTGAACTGTTGCATGCCGGCAGAAGTGACGTCAACTCCCGGAGCTCTGTAGTCTCAACACAGAGCCTTCCAACATCATCAACAAAATATTTGATGTTGTGCAATCGGAGAGTAAAATGTTTGGCATTTCTTTCCAGTTTATTTATTTTTATCTCGGTGACTCACCTGGCTCTGACCAGTATCCCTCTCCCACTCCTTTAAAAATCTCCACTGCAGTCTCACTTCCTGTGAGGGAACCTACAGGACACACAGAGACATGCAAACATTTTCACACGTAGGGAGAATTTTGAGTCTTGTGTCGATGCTTTGGTCTGTGGGAGACTCTGGAGAAAGTCACGTGCATGGGGGGGTACATGCTAACTACACACAGAGGTCACCATGCAGACCGTCTTGAGACCACGTGAATGCAAATACTAAACTTTAACACATGGCTAACTCGACCTTGAAATCAGCATTTTGCATCTTCCCACACAGTTGCTGTGATGACAAACTGACACAAGGGCACACGTGAACACCCACGCAGTCAGGTGACTGAAGACAGAGCAAGTCCAAGAACTAAACAAGACCTTGATGAGGCAGTTTCAAAAGGAGTCGGCTTCATTTACATCCACACAAAAGAAACTCATAATGAGCAACATTTAAAAAGCCTCTTGATGCCATGCAGTTGCTGACATCTCCAGTTTATATATATATATATATATATATATATATATATATATATATATATATATATATATATATATATATATATATAAGCCTCTTGATGCCATGAAGTTGCTGACATCTCCAGTAAAGAAACCTAGCAAACAATAGTCCGATAAAAATATTTTGTTGTTGCAAACGTGAGTTTAGTTTTCACCTTGGTAGATTTCATACTTCCAATGCATGCTTCACATGTTAGCTCTTTACCACAATGCATCTTTCTAAAGCATTCATTATCCACCTTGCAGGCAGGACTATGTGACAAAGACAGTGGTTGCCTTTGACAGCACTTGCAGCACTTGCTGCACTGTGGTTGTTTGAATCTTATTGTGAATTCTGTAGAAAGAAATTTTCTCATCCCCTTCTTGTTTTTTTCTCACTGTATCTCAACGAGTGTGTATGTGTGTGTGTGTGTGTATGCAAAGTGGGAGTGACAGTGCTCTTACGTCAATGAGCCCCCTTAGTTTCGGGAAAACCAGAGAGGGCCGAGTTTTTCTACATGTTTGTGGTTTTTCTCAGGTGTCTTTCTCTCTCTCTTTTCTTCTCTGTATTTTTAAATGAATGGGTTCAAAAAACCCAAACATCCGTTCCCTACTTCCTCATTTACCGCTTTCTATCTATCTGCCTCATCTCTCTCTCTCTCTCTCTCTCTCTCTCTCTCTCTCTCTCTCTCTCTCTCTCTCTCTCTCTCTCTCTCTCTCTCTCTGTCTCCCTCTCTCTCTCTCTCTCTCTGTCTCCCTCTCTCTCTCTCTCTCTCTCTCTCTCTGTCTCCCTCTCTCCCTCTCTCTCTCTGTCTCCCTCTCTCTCTCCCTCTCTCTCTCTCTCTCTCTCTGTCTCCCTCTCCCTCTCTCTCTCTCTCTCTCTCTCTCTCTGTCTCCCTCCCTCTCTCTCTCCCTCTCTCTCTCTCTCTCTGTCTCCCTCTCTCTCTCTCTCTCTCTCTCTCTCTCTCTCTCTCTCTCTCTCTCTCTCTCTCTGTCTCCCTCTCTCCCTCTCTCTCTCTCTCTCTCTCTCTCTCTCTCTCTCTCTCTCTCTCTCTCTCTCTCTCTCTCGCTCCTTTTCTGTGGTGTGTGCCGTTTGCACTAGTGCAGATGTCTTGATTAACAAGAAACTGCTTCATGCTTTCAGTCAGTCTGTGGACTTACCTACACAATAATCCCAAAAGATGATCAGTTTACTTGTATAAAGTGACCCCACCAGAACTCAGGCAGTGCGTCTAGATGCACATCAGAAAACCAAACGAATTCCTTAAATTAACTGAAGTCAGTTTTTTATGTATGTAAAGGGGTTTGTCTGACTGACGGCAAACTGGTTCAAATATCCTGTTCTTACTCCGTCTGCTTCACTAACGCCAGCCTTTGTTTACTATTTGTTGGACTATAAGCTAACTGTAAGAGTGCCTATATGAAAGGGTGCCTGTCACCACCTACCATAGTGGAATGGAAGGAGGGCTGGTATCAACATGTTTTAGTGGTTTCTCTGCTGCAACACACTTGAATTAGTGGTTGAATCGCGTGTACAGCAGCTCATCAAGCTCTGCAGAAGCCTGTTAATCACCTGCAGAGTGAAATCAAGTGTGCTGAAACAGGGTTAAAGCTAAAACATGCTGGGTACCGGCCATTCAGCACCAGGATTGGGCACCCCTGATTTACTAGTTTACATGTAAACTAGGATAAAGTCTTCCAGTTTGTTGCTGCTGATCGACTTGGATGCACATGAAAAAACACAGACTGAGTTTCAGCTGAGATAATCAGAGGAGAACCAAAATTTAAAGGTTATATTATTCTTTGAACTTGGACCAGATTTCAACCAGCGTTATGATGCATTATTTTTAATGCATTTGGCTTCAATAACCCATCACATGTTGAGAGCCCACCTATGACACAATCCTGGATGGATGACACAATCTATTCTCTACAGGAAGCCACTTACTGATAAACCAGTGAAAATATGGTAAAAATGGCCTGTATTTGATATAGCACCTTCTAGAGTCCTGGAACCCCCCAAGGTGCTTTTACAACACAGTCAGTCGTCTAATGAGCTTTGAAAGAAAAGCGTCTGGACTTCTTTGAGTTGCTTGAAGACGTTTCACCTCTCATCTGAGAGGCTTCTTCAGGTCTAAGGTCAAATGGTGGAGAGACCTAGCCTATGAACTAGACCAAATTCTTGCTTTGCAAAGAATGGTCTAGGCATGCTCCATTGGAACCTCAGCAGCTCCTACCAGGACTCTGGCTAGCCAATCACAGCTCTCTAGGGGGGTTTCAAACACAAAAAGAGCTGTGATTGGTCCATAATGGTGGGCCAATCATAGTGCTCTATCTGCTTAGTGAACAAATCACAGAGCTTTATCCGCTTTGTGGGCCAATCAGGGCACTATATATGCCTGGTGGGTGGGATGATGCAACAGAGTGAAACAAGAGTATGCCGCATTCATTGTCCAGTGGAATGCGGAGATCATTTGAAAGACAACGGTAGAACCCGCCCCACAACCGAGAGCCGTCAATGGAGCATGGCCAGACTAAATAAATGTATTATTATATAATAATACATTTAT